ATAAGAGCAACGAAGCACCTGCCAACAGCGCTTTCACTACTGTACTGCTTTTATGTCTAAACATATGTAGGCCGGAGCGAACATTACACAAAGAAGAGGACCATTGAACACGTTGCTCTCGATTTCTAGGTTGCACTATCCCTCGTACATTCACTGTGTGCTTTTCCCAGACACAGTGAAATATTTTATTGAGCACAACTTCATTTTATCGGTTTTGTTCACAAAATTCCTCTTGCCCTAATATCAATGCCACAGCGCTATATTTAGAGCGAACCTTCAAGTGTATTCTCTATCACCACATTATCATTCATGACAAGTCCCTTATAACACCGCAACTTTCAGTGACCGTGGCAATAAAACACCCCAACAGCCTTATGACTAGCAATTCGATTCTCCACCGTTGTAATAGCCATTTCTTAGAGACCGATCCATGCACAGAATAAAACGATAACGACCACCTCATTCTGTACAACCTGAATGACCTCACTGTATAACGACCTACAGAATGGTCGTCCCATAAATATTTCGAAACTTCTTGCCCGAACACTGATCAAAGTACTTAAAGGCACAGTTCACGACAAAATTGGTTTCTGAGACTTACCCACAGAATGAATTTGAGGCCCCGCGTATACCATATCTTGCACTATTGGGTCGGAAAACGGGCTAGTTAGGGAGTTATAAAGGCTCAAAGATTGGCCCGTGTGTATTCTCGGACGAGTTTCACTGCCATTGTAGTGGCTGCATCGATCACAAGGGAACCCATGTAGGAATTTCTAACAACTTCTTATGACCAATAGCGACAGTGAAAGACAGGTCTGTACAGTTCTGGCTTGATACAGTCCGCTTTTTGCGCAATCGCAAAAAACGAAATCTCGTCCGAATACCCCTTCCATGTAATTTCCGTCATGGCAATCTCGTCCAACCTTTGTTTCCCCTACTTTTGAGGAGCCATATTTTTCTTAAAATCGGCGAATTCTCTCGCTTCTTTCACTACCGATGAACTATTCCCAATCTATACTTTCGCTTTTCGAATAAAAACGGGTACCTGAAAATCATCCTTAACTGTGCCTTTAACAATTGGCCCTCTACTCAGGATACCTGCTAATGACTTACCACTAACAAAGGAATATGGGTGAAATATTTATCACCTCGAGTGATATAGCAGTATGAGCTCACTGATGATGAAGTCTCAATCATAACATATCTTTTCTTTTCACTATGGCAATGGAATTATCTCAACAGTCCCAGTTCATGGTCATATAACTTCACCGCCTCAACACTTTCAGATTGAACCCCCAGATCGAGTACTATATTATCACTTGTTCAAATAACAAAAATAGGTCAAAAATACGGTCACTGTTGTGGCTTTATTGAGCATTGCAAGTGAAAGAAGTCGAAATTCCAGCAATACATGCGTGCTCTTCATTTATTTTCAAGATATTCAATCAGGAGATGAAGAGCATCGACGGAATGATTCCTCCTAACTATGGCGCTCGACTCCGCTCTGCTGATCGAGTCCGTTTAACAATCGTGATGGACCCGAGGTCAAGAGTAGAACTGCTCCTCCGAAATGGTTGCCAACACCTCACCGGACTCATTTCCGAGATTGTTCAATGCTTTTTTCTGGCGTTTTGGCGTGAAAAGAACAAAAACCAAGCCTCCTCAGAAAATACGCAAAGATTCTTACCAGTAAACACAATAACTGCCGCTATAGCTCACTGGCCCCTATAATCGCAACGTATACTCATCACTATGTGTACTTCCTGAAACAAACCTGAACATCATTGTGTGCATTGGACGCAGTTTCTGGAGTAAGATCAAAACTCAGATGTTGTGAATATATTGTTTCTTGGAACCTTCCCAATTCCGAAATGAGCTGTGACAACTCGTTCTGTCGGATGGTCGCTTCCCGTGCCACACTCTCCTGAATCGTTCACAATGCAATTACCAGTGAACTAACTGACTGATTGCTCTTTTTCTCATGAAAGAAAATCACCACTTGTCTGATTACTCTGCTCATTAGGACTCGTGTTCACCAAAACCACCTGCCTTTAGTGAATCACTGAGAGGACCAATGTCATTTTGCTTTGAACTCTCACGACGTTATTATAAAAGTTTCTTAGAGAACGTCTCGGCGATATCGCCTTCCTTAGAGCCTGAAGTGGGTCTCAAACAATTCGTGGATATTAAATCAAAAATCTCCACTACCTGACGGCCCCCAGGGCACCATGAAACCGAGAAAGATGGGGGCACTCACCGTGGATCCTCGAAATCACCCAGGAACCGATAGTGAGATCAGGTCATCTGGGCTGGTCCCACTATCGGTCAGCTGGTAAACTTTTTATAACAACCTTGTGAGAGTTCAAAGAAAAACAACATCAGTTACAACCATACCGAGGTTTATGCAAGCCCGAACGTGGAGACCGAGAGAATCTTTGATGTTGTTGACACAATCCATGCGTATAAAATCATGCATTCACGTATGACGCCAACACCCGACGGACATTTTCACCTTACAACGGTTACTGTTATACTTTTTTATAATTCCATGCTTTGATACTCAACTTCAATACTACACCGTTCATTCTCAAACACGAATAACACTCTGGTAAATGGTCGATGAAGAATGATGGAGTAGTGAATGACCTATACAAAGGTAAGGCAGTGCCAAGGGGGAAATTCTCTAATACAGCGCGACTCTA